TTACGAGTGTGTGTGTGTGTGTGTAGTTGCTGGGGGGGGTTGTTGTATGTGTGTGCAGTTGCTGTGGGGTGGTTGTGGTGTGTGTGCGTGTAGTTGCTGGCTGTGTTGTGTGTGTAGTTGCTGGGGGGTTGTGGTGTGTGTGTGTGTGTAGTTGCTGGGGGGTTGTGGTGTGTGTGTGTAGTTCCTGTCTGTGGTGTGTGTCTGTGTGTAGTTAGCTATATCTGTGTGTCTGCATTTGCTGTGGGGTGTGTAGGCTTGACGCACACCCTCACCCTGTCCTTCTCCCCCTTCCAGTCCCAGAGTTCCTGCCCCGCAGCCTCCCCCCCCCCCGCGCCAGCCCTGTCCCCTACCTGCTGGGGCCCGCTGTGGGGTGGGCTGTGGGACGACCCTTCCCGAGGCCTGGAGACGGGGTAGCCGCAGGGGAGCATTGGCCCCAATCCCAGGGGTTAATTATAGCCGAGTCTGGGCAGGCCGGGCTCCCTGCCAGCCCTCCGCGTGTCCTGGGCCCCATACTGCCCTCCCCTTGGACTGCAGCCCTGCGGCCAGGAGCTTCTGGCCAGGAGCCCTAAGCCTGGAGGCCCCTGGCTGTGGGGAGTGGGTGGGATTCCTGGGGGCAGGGAGGGATGTCCTAGCCTTTTTATTGCACCCCTCCCCTGGTGGGGATTCACCAGTGGGGAAGGACAGAAGTTCGCAGGCGCTGGTGTCTAGGAGTCCAAAGCACAGGGGCTTCAGGGGGTAGATGGGGAGTGGGGTCTAGTGGTTAGAGCAGGGGGCCTGGGAGCCAGGACTCCTGGGTTTTGTCTCTGGGAGGGGAGTGTGGCCTAGTGGTTAAAGCGAGGGGCTGGGAGCCAGATTCTTAGGTTCTGTCTCTGGAGGGGAATGGGGCCTAGTGATTAGAGCCGTGGACTAGGAGCCAGGATTCCTGGGTTTTGTCTCTGGGAGGGGAGTGGGGTCTAGTGGTTAGACCCCCATTGGAGCATGATCCCCCCCACCCCCATGGGGGCTGGGCAGCGCCAGGGGATAAAGGCGCTTTTCCCAGCTGGGGGCGGAAAAGTTTGTTCAAAATTAGTTTTTCCATCAGAGTGTAAAGAGCCGGAATAGAACAAAGGGGGGTGGGGAGGGGAGGAGTGGTGGGGGAGGGGGAGTTCAGAATGATAGACAGGTTGGAGTGGATGGAGGAGTGGACGTGGAAGGACAGTTGTGTGGGGGGTGCGAGGTGAAATGGAGTGGGAGAGGGGGTACTGGATGGCTGGATGGGGTGTATGGGATGGGGAGATGGGATGTTTGGGTGGGGGGTGGAGGATGGGATGGCTGGGTGGGGGATGGGGTGTATGGGGTGGAGGGTACAGGATGGGTGGGGGATGAGCTGGCTGGGTGGGGTGATGGGATTTGTGGGTAGGGTGCTCCTAAATTCTTGCCCCACCTGCTGTCTCTGCTGGGGTTCCCCACCCTCCTGCGATCCCCTGGGGCTAGTTTCCAGCTGAGCGCCTAGAGGCATTTTGGGGAGGGGGTAAGAATATTTGCAGGAGGACACAAACCTACCTCATTGTCAAAGGTGCCTGTGGGGCTTGCGCCAGGGGTCTCTACAGGCCTGGCACTCTGCTTGGCCTGCCCGCAGAGCAGCGTGTACCGAGGAGAATCCCCCTCGGCAGTATGGGGCAAGGACAAACACCCCCCCCCCAAGCAGGGTCCGTCCCCTCCATCAGGGGGCGCACGGACACACAAGCCCTGCTCGGGGTGAATTTGTGCTGCCCCACACACCACCCCCTACCCATCCCCCCATGGCTCCTATCCCCCACACAGCTCCCTCCCGTTGGCGATTCCCCTGGGCCTCCAGCCCAGCCCTAACTTCCCCCCACCATGCACCGGGGGGGGTGTGTGTGTGTGTCCTCTGGCCCCTCTGCCCTGTCCCGTGCCCCTGCCCCAAGCAGAGCTGGGCGGAGTGGGCCCCAGTGGAAAGAACGCGGGACTGATAAGCAGAGCAAACAGGGGGGCCGGGGCTGATGGAAAGTCTCCGTGTTTGGAGAGGGTGTGTGTGGGGGGATTAGGGGCAGGGCGGTGGGGCCGGCCGGGGGCTGCCTGGGCCGGTTCTGGAGGGCCCGGCCTGGCCTCTCAGCCTGGGCCCTTTATAAGGCACGGATGGGCTGGGGAGAGGGGCACAGGATTTAACTCAGGGCCA